TGAATTTCTAACTTCGATATGATAATTTGAAAAGTATAGATATTCGGTACAACAGGGAAAAACTGCAGAATATAATGCCATACAGATATTTTTAAAGGGGTCATATGATGCGATTTTATTTTTTCCTTTCTCTTTGGAGTGTTACAAGCTCTTGGTGCATAAAGAAGATCTGTAAAGTTGCAAAGACTAAAGTCTCAAATCCAAAGAGATATTCTTTATAAAAGTTAAGAGTTAGCCACACCTCCCTAAAACGGCTCGTTCGAACACGCCCCCACATATCTACGTCACTATGTGGGAAGATTTGCATAACGCCGCCCAAATGTTCACGCAAAGAAAGAAGGCGTAACTTTTATTCTCACTGTAGTATTGTTGCCGCTGCCTCCATGTCCTGAAGACGCTGTGTGCTTCGTTGTGAAAGCGAAGCTACTTTGGTCTTCCAAAAGAGGATGATATCCGCTTCGTCATGCCTAGAGCTGATCTGTGCTGGTCGCTGAGGGAATACATCAACTTTCACCATGGACGAAGCGGAGTCCAGCCCAGGCGCACCGTTCTCGACCCTGCCGCCTCAGCTCACTCTTGCCCGGCTTCAGCTCAGGCTAAGCCGGGGCTTTCGCTCACGCTAGGCCGCTGTGTTTTTCGTTGTGAAAGCGAAACTACTTTGTTTGGTCTTCCAAAAGAGGACACGACTACAAATCAGTGGTTAAGTTGTATTTACAACACTGTTCCAGAACAGTTCAACCCAAATATTCAGATGTGTGCAGCACATTTTATGGAGGACTGTTTACTGATCCTGGGTGAGTTACGTTAGACTAAAATGCCGGCAGTTCTGACTCACGTAAGTACGTTTTCATTTAAAGGATTTGCCACTGATGATTCAAACGCGAGTTTTGGGCAGTGTGGATTAACGTTAGCACTTGTTGTTTGTCATTTCTCTTATCACAAATGCAGACATGGTTTTATGTTTACGCGGCGCAATGCAACGCAACGCGTAAAACAACAGTATAAGTCATTATAATCAGTAATTATGTCCCCACTGGATGCAAACAAATTTGTAATGGGTTTTCATGTTTATGTCTCGTCGCTCCGGCCTGACACGGCATCAACAGTATGTGAGGGGCGTAACATTTCCGTCTCACGCTTGAGGTATTCGGTCAATCACAACGCACTGGATAGCTGGCTAATCAGAGCACACCTCGCTTTTCAGACCGATTAGTTTTGTAAAAATCGACGCGTTTCAAAAAGGCGGGGCATAGAGGAGAAACAATAATGTACAGTATGTGGAAAATAATGTTTTTTTTTTACTTTAAACCGCATAAACACATTTCATTACACCAAATACACAAAATAATGTTCTTTTTAGCAGCATCATATGACCCCTTTAAAAAAACTAATAAATATTGCAAAAATATAACAAAATTGTTAAATCTTCAAAATAAAAAAATTAAATATAATAAAATAAAATGAAATAAAATAGTATCTGGTATACTCACAGACGTGAAGATCTGCGATCGTGGCCGTCGGTCCATTACACGGGGCCGTGATGCGGTCGGGTGGTTCAGCTTCTCTGTGGATGAGACGATGGTGTCGAAGTCTTCTACATCTTCAGCCGAGCGTCACACAATCACAAACATAAACACACAGGACCACATATATATCACATGCATATGAATCACGAACACAGGAAAAAACGCCAGACTGTAATCGCACATCTCCAGAATGGAAGTGAATGAAGTGAGATGGACAGAGAGCTGTTGTAATTTGATTAGATATAGATTATTAGAAGCCTTATTAGTCATGAAAGGGTTATTGTGGATTGAAATGCAGCTCTGGACAGGGACTCACCGATATCTACGGATTTGTCTGCAGAGCCTCTGTCAGCTGCCACACCACTGCCGTCAGACTTCGGACTGTCACACCTGTGCAAAAGAGATTTAAACCAGAATGAGCTTTATTAAAACATGAAAACAGAGCAAATGTATTGAGAAATAATGTGATACGAGATGGTGAGGATTTCTAATATGTAGAACTGGAAGTCTGATTCATTCTAGTGAATAGGTTTATTCGGAAGGTTTTAAATGAATCTACACAAAATGAAATAATTCACTTATTAATTGGAATCATTGCAAATAAATTGTTTTGATGGTTCTAAATAAATCAATTGAAAAATTAAATGATTCATTGTTTCACTGCACAGAAGTTATTTGGTTCGGTTCCAAATTAATCCATTTGCTACACAGATGCTGTTCAGATGATTCTAAAGGAATCCATTAAAAAAACTAAATGACTCACTGATTCATTGGAATGACTGCATAGAAGTTGCTTGAATGGTTTTAAATGAATCAGTTGACAAAACAAAATGAGTCACTGAATCATTGGGATTTACTGCACAGATGATGTTTGGATGGTTCTAAATGAATCAATTCCGAAATTAAATTACGTCACTGTTCTGAGATTCAGTCATGTAAAATAGGGTGTCATTTTTATTAATTATTTAGTGTACATTTATCTGTTAAAAGTCTGTTTATCACACTAATTGAGATCAGCTTTTTTGTTCCAGATAAAATCTGTTCTGTATTTATCTATAAAAAATGAATGATATCATCTGATACTTTGATAAGATATCATGATGCATCATGGTTTATTTAATCATGGTGTGATTATGTGATCATATTATGAGGTAATTGCTATCTCTGCTATCTCAATTACCCTGCTATTATTAGACACTTTTAGCTTATGAATAAATGAATCATGGCTGGAAAATGCACTTTTGAAGAACAATCACTAGGGGGCAGTATAACGTTTACAATCACTTGTATCAACCAGAAGTCTCCAAAAACACCTCACAAAACATTCAAAAAGAAGTAATTCACCATTATTATAGATATTTTGTATCTTTTTATAGTTGTATATAATGGGCTGAAAATCCTGCTACTTTGTGAATGTGTGTGTTCTGTACATCTGTGTATCTAGTGATGCTGATACGTGTTTGTTTGAGTGTGAGACTGACGGTATATTGGGCACTGCTGGTCTCTCGGGTCTGTCTGGGCGTTTGGGTGGCAGGGATGACGGTCGATTCAATGAGTTGTTGTTCTTCGGGGGGAGAGGCTTCTTTGGGAGGACAACTGGGAGGGACGGCTTTGCAATCTCACCCAGCTTCCACTCCTCACCTACATGTAATCATCATCTTTATTAAAGGGCATAAAAAGTCATACAAGTTTGTTTACAGGAAACTAAGAGAGGGTTTGTTAAAGCAGAGAGGGAAAATGTTATTCCAACATTTTTTAGTTTACTTCAGAGAAACAAGAAGTCTTTGAAAACACACAAGCAGTAACCCTTTTAGAGAAGGGCAGCACAGAGCTATAGGTTTTGCTGTAGTAGAAGGTCAGAGTCACAGAATTAGAGTTGACCAAAGCAAATTAAAACAGTTGAGAGAGACGTTACCTACCTTTTTCCTCAGCTCTGTGTGGGAGAGATTCAGGCCGCTCCGGTGGAACTTTTTTAGCCTCTGTCTTTTTGTCTGGGGATCAATACACATAATATGAGGGTTCAACGGGGCACAGCTGACTCATTACTTAAGCTTTCAGCTAAAGTGACACAGAAACATGTCAAAATGTAGGGTATGAGACCACACTGAACATCTGTAAAACAAACATTATAATATAAAATGAAGAAAAATACTTAAGATTCTGCACTGTTTATAGGCCACTAATGGATTTTTATTTTTATTATTATTATTATTATATTATTATTATATAAATATATTTAATATATAAACATAACATATTTTTCTTAAATATATACGTGCATGTGTTTGTAATTATATATACATAATATACACAGTACACACTCATTTATTAGGTAAAAAAAAGTTTTATATTGTATGCGATTAATCACGATTAATCGTTTGGCAGCACTAGAATATACAGTATATTTCTTAGATAAATACACGCACATACATGCATATATTTATGAAATATATGCAATATATATTTATATATAATAAAAATCATATAAAAATGAATATATAATGAAACATATATATTTCTTAAATATATACACACGTGTGTGTTATATATATATATATATATATATATGCGCATGCATGCACGCACACACACATATAAAACAAAAAAAGTAGATAGAATAAAAAAAGAATAGAAAAAAGGCCTCTAAAGCCCTGTTCACACCAAGAATGATACTTAAGATTCTGCACTGTTTATAGGCCACTAATGGATTTTTATTTTTATTATTATTATTATTATATTATTATTATTTATTTATTGACCAAGTGGTTCTTAGTACAGATAATCAGGTGTTCTTTCAGATATTTTTGGGATAATCTAAAATCATGCTGGAGAATATAATCATCAGGTTTTAATACTTGAAAAATGTTTTTTGATACAGCTTGACATATCCACTGTATCCCACAATGCAATACAGTTTAAAAGAGGTTTTAAAAAACTATGATATTATATTATACATTACTTGAAACATGATTACATAATTGTTTTACATGGCTGAGATGGCTGTCAAATCGATTAATTACACGCACATACATGCATATATTTATGAAATATATGCAATATATATTTATATATAATAAAAATCATATAAAAATGAATATATAATGAAACATATATATTTCTTAAATATATACACACGTGTGTGTATTTATATATTTAAATACACACAGTACATACACATATATTATGTGAACACAAACTGTTATTTTGGATGTTATTAATTGCGATTAATCAATTTGACAGCTCTAGTTAGTATGCTACAATTCAACATTTACTCAAATTATAATGCTGATAATGTAATTTGTGATGGAAACAGAAGTATTTTCATTAGTGGGCTTAGACTTTTGCACCAAATTAAACAATTCAATTGCAAGCACATCACTGAAATTACATAAACACTCAATTTTAACCATGTTAACTCGCATACAAACTGATAATGCAAAAACAGTCATACATAAATATGTCTACCATTTTTCCATATACCAGTGTTGGAAACAGAACTACTGAGTGATCTCTGCGTTCCCTCTTTGTCTCTCAGTCCCATTTCATGGTACGTCAGTACGAAGATTATGTGGGCAGAGTTTCAAAACCTCTGAAGGGAAGCTTTGAAGAACTCTTGTCTATTTATATTTTAAGAGCTTTTTGGGTAATCTGGTTGCACCTACACATATTCACAGAGAATATATTCCAATGATCATTAAACAGACAGCTGATAGATTTGTCTTCATTTGAGAAGACATGAATATTTAATATATAATAAATTATAATATAATATTAATATTAACATAAACCATTATTTTAAATTGCAATAATATTTCATTATATTTTTTTCGGTATTTTTGATCAAATAAATGCAACTTTGATGAGCATAAGAGACTTCTTTAAAAACATTACAAATCTTTCTGATCCCAAACTTTTGAACGGTAGTGTATATCACCATATGTAAACAAACCAATCAAATCAAACAGTCACAGATGGGCATGTAAGCTTACATACTGAGAGGAATTAAAGAAAAAATGCAGAAAGAAAAGGAAAGAAGAAGAATTTGTTACCTGTGATCTGTTTAGTTGTTGGTGCTGCAGGTGGAGGAGGTTTCTTAGGCCTCTGTAAGCACAGACACAGTTAAAACAAACAGTACACCTATTAAAACACCCACAAGCACTCATTAAAACACAGTTCAACTCATACTAAAACACATACAGTTAGCCATACACATTTGTCCTATTAAAAACACAATCCCTTCAGGCCAAACAGCACTAAAACATCAAAGGACATGCTGCTACATCAGGCAAAGGGTGAAGAGGGAGTCAAAGGTACAGGGCAGAGGGGAGCGTGTGTGTGTGTGTGTGTGTGTGTGTTTCACCACAGCTCTGCCTTCACTCAGAGACTGAGGCCCGCTGTCATAAGGATGGGAGCTCCCCGTTGGAAACAGTTGAAGTGTGTCAGTGAGAGACAAACAAGAAGATCTCACCTCTTTTTCTACCTCAGGAATGAATAACTTCACAAAGTTGTCTGGAAACACTCCCTGTTTGCCGTTTAGCTCTCCAAGCCACCAACCAGCGTCTGCACACTCCTACACACAGCGAAAACACATTTAATCAGTCTATTTTTGTTCTAAAAAGGCCAGACGTGATGTCAGTAACAATTTGTTCAACCACGTTGAAAGCGTAAATTGCAATTAGAATATATTTGATGTATAGTATACTGTAAAGTTATCTGGAGAGGATTTTTGGATCAATGAGATTTCACTTCTTTCATTAAAAATGAAAATATAATTATTTAACATTTTACTTTGTATTTTTTAGTACAATTTTTGAGTTGTAATCACCAAACTCACCTTATTGACAATCGTAACGATGTCTCCCTCTTTGATTGACAGCTCATCTTCGTTCTGACCTTCGTACGGGAAAATTACTTTGCAAAACTCCTTTGCTGTAATTTGAATTTTCACAATGTCACATCAAGAACCAATTGTCGTATCTGCATACAATTTGACTACATAAACAATTTAAGCATTTAAATAATCCACAGCACAGGTGTGATCTAATCCTTTTACCTTTGGCCTTACTCTCAGGCTCCGCCTTCATGGTTTCCTGGGCAACAGCTGGAGCGACTTTCTTCACCATTTGAGGCTACGGAGAATCAAATACTTTGTAAAACACTACAATGATAATTTATAAGCACTACGGTTCAAAAGTTTAGGGTCAGTAACATGAAAAAACAAAAACAAAAAAAAAACATAAAAAGGTAATATTAAAAAATTAAAAAGTAATATTGTGAAATTATATTACAATTTAAAATAACTGTTTTCTATGTAATATATTTTAAAATGTCATTTATTCCTTGAATGCAAATCTGATTCTTCAGAAATCATTGTAATATGTTGATTTGCTACTTAAGAATCATTTCTTATTATTATCAATGCTGAAAACAGTTGTGCTCCTTCATATTTTTATGAATATAATAGATTCTTTGGTGAATAGAAATTTTAATAGAGTAGCATTTATTTGAAACAAATATTGAGTAAACTTTTGAACAGTAGTGTAAAAAATATAAATTTATATTTATTTCATGACATTTCATACATACTATTACAGTATATATATATATATATATATATATATATATATATATACAAAC